TTTTATTGCTTAAAAATGCCATGAAAAACATTCCCTCTTAGATACTCTGAGACGCCTCCCCGTAGATCTGACCTGTATCTAGGCCTAGTTTCTTTTCAGCTTTTCCTCATGGAGATAGATGAGTTTAATGCTTCACTGTGGAACATTCCAGGCAAAGCAATGGAGACAAACTATGGAGACAATCAGTTGACAGACCCTCCACAAGAAAAGTTACACAATGCAGCTTTAACCTTAACCTTAATGTCTTTCCAAAGTTTCTCCTTGGTTCAGCGGAGAGAAAATGTTCAGTGATTCAGACTAAACTTGAGTTCATTTGGATTCAGAGCAGCTCGGAGCTCGTCTGAGGTCACCCTCCTGTGGCTCTCATTTAAAAGCACTAACTCACAGAACAAAGCCAAGGTTGGCAGCTCCTGTTCTTGAGCAAGACACCTCACCGTCCTTATCGCTAATCTCTATGGTCTTCAGGAGTTAAAGTGGTAGTATGTCACTACAAGTTAAAGCCATACTTTGGAACATTCTCCATGGAGATTGATGCAGTTTATGCCATAATGTGGAAGATTATAGTCAAAGAAACAACATTGCAAGGATCGTTTTTACCTACCCCTTATCCCCGCCCACTGCTCTGTAATTATTTCAGACTCTGGGTAGGACAGGGTCTTCCTGCTTGTTTTCATGAAATTGTTGTTCCTTTGGCTATAATACTCCATAGTATGGCACAAAACCATGGAGGATATTCTGAAGTATAGTTTAAACTTTCTATTTCCATGGAATAATGCAGGTGACACAACACTTACTCAAAGTTACATACTGCCAGTGTTGGGAAGGTTACTTTTAAAATGTATTCCCCTACAGATAACAGATTGCATGTCCTAAAATGAAGTTTGTAACATAATCCATTAAATTACTTAAAGTGAGTAATGTAATCTGAATACTTTGGATTACTTGATAGCGTCATGCTTTTTAAAACGACATGAATGTACCAAACACATCCTGCAAACTCTTGTTTATTCAGTATTTACTTAACCAGATTAAAAATATTATTGATAGAGAAATTATTTTTATATGAAATCACTGCTGCCTCGATTATGTCCACCTACTGTTAGTGTCATATTGTTTAGTCCTAGTTTAGTCCTGGTTTTAGACCTGGTTTAGACCTGGTTTAGTCCTGGTTTTAGTCCTGATTTAGTGCTGGTTTTAATCCTGGTTTAGATCTGGTTTAGACCTGGTTTAGTCCTGGTTTTAGTCCTAGTTTAGTCCTGGTTTTAGTCCTGGTTTAGTGCTGGTTTAGACCTGGTTTAGTCCTGGTTTAGTCCTGATTTAGTCCTGGTTTTAGTCCTGGTTTAGTCCTGGTTTAGTCCTGGTTTTAGTCCTGGTTTAGTCCTGGTTTAGTGCTGGTTTGGACCTGGTTTAGTCCTAGTTTAGCCTAAAATGTGAAAACAGGAAAATACCGCCATGTAATCCATTTATTTCAGCAAAGTAACTGTAATCCAATTACCACTCACTTAAACAGTAACTGTAACTGAATACAGTTACTCATCATTTGTACTCTGATTACGTAACTCTGGTACATGTAATCTGTTACATTCCAACACTGCACCATTCAAAAAATACCTAATCCTTCTTTCATATTGTCCATGCTTATTTATTGATTTATTTTTGTTCTTTGTTATGTGATATTGTGATCTACTGTGTCCAAGTCATTTCTCATGTGGATCAATAAAGTTTGTCTCATTTTTTGCCTCTTGTGTGTTCGCAGGTAACTACGGAGAGAGTGGGATGGAGGTGTTTAAGGAGCTGGCTGCTCAGGAGGGCCTCTGCATCGCTCACTCAGATAAAATCTACTCAAACGCTGGAGAGAAACACTTTGACCGCCTGCTGAGGAAGCTGAGGGAGAGACTGCCCAAAGCTCGAGTGGTGGTGTGTTTCTGCGAGGGCATGACTGTACGAGGGCTCCTCATGGCCATGCGCAGACTCGGCATCGCTGGAGAGTTTCTGCTCATCGGGAGGTACGTGGACTGACTTTAAAGGAGATATGATGAATAATCTACTTCTATGAGCTTTTAACTGCAAAAACAGAGCTGGAGTTGTGTTTTGTTTCATTCACACATGTTTGAGTAACTCTTTGTTAGTCTGTCTACATGCTCTGTTCCACCTTGTGATGTCATGAAGTGGTTTCCGAGTTAAATAGCTTCTTTTATCTTTTGTTCAGTAGAGATTGGCAACTGAAAGGTCTGAAATCATCAAAAATGATTTTAGTGAAGGTTTATGGATGTTTAAAACTACAGTGGCGCACTTCCTGTATTACCCAGGGTTCCCAGAGTCATGGAAATCTTAGAAAAGTCACTGAAATTGAAAATGTCATTTTACAGGACTGGAAAGGTCATGGAATTTTGTAAATTCAATGAAAGTTTTGGAAAAGTCATGGAATTTTAGTATCTCTTTCACGCAACTCCAGTGTTCTGTTAAGTTCTCATTAGAACATTATGATTATTTCTGAAAATCTGCCCGTTTTGTTTAAAAGAGACGACAATAAATGCACTGACAGGATTTTGAATGTTAAAAACTATAATCCCAAACCATAAGGTGGAAAGAGTTCACATTTCAGATTTAGACCTAAAAGTCTGATCAGTTCTTCACATGTAGGTGCTGTAAAGTCATGGAAAATTCACTTT